AATAATAATTCCTGTTTAATAATTCGCTCCAGATAAAAATGAAACTGGATAGACCCCTCGTGAATGAGAGCAGAATCCTGCCCTGCTGAGACCAAGAGGATTTCGTATTAAGGTGAATCAAAATCCAAGTTCTGCTCTCCATTAATGCAGATTTACACTGATGGAACTGCTGAACTTGTGTCAGTGCCAGGGAGAGCTCCCCAAGCATCCCCTTGTCCCTGCTTTTGACTGGTTTTGGATTAGATGTTCTAAATTACATTGTCTGGGCTCTGTTCCTTGTCAAATCATCTCTTCTTCCAGACCATTAAAAGAAGTTAAGTGGCTGGCACAAGACACATGTTCTGCTTGTCCCCTGCCCTGCTGTGGTTTCAACTTCCAGGCTGCAGAATTCCAAATGGAACCCAGAGCATGAGTGCAGGAAGATGGTAAAATTTGACACCTCTGCTTCACATTAAACAAATTTCTAATGACTTATGGATATGAATCCAGGAGTTTAGCAAGAAAAGGCTGACACCTGCACCTGCTGAGGAATTTACACTTTAGGATTGCACCCATCACATTCTTTCAATGAAGGAGAACTGGGAGAGTCCCTGCCCATACAAAGTAGTCAATATTCTCTTTAAATCTATATCTATTCTATATTTTATTATTTCTAAAATTAAAAGTTTGTCTGAGTCAACTCCCTACAAGATTTCCAAAGTTTGATTCTGAGTCATGTCTGGTGTCACTCACACGGGGCTGGAGAAGAACTCACATTTTCCAGCCCCCAGGGCACCTCTGGCTGTGTTTTGAGCTGTCCCAAGCAGCTGGACAGGTGCAAATATTGCCTCAAGGATCAACAACTCTCTAGCCTTGGTAGCTCTACCATGCAACAGGAAAAGAGTGACCTCCTGGGGCCACACTGGAGTACTTTCAGTACTGGGCTTTAATTTTTATTTCTTTTTTTGTGTGTGTGAAGATCAGGAATGGAAATATTTAAGTACACAAAGATTTACTCTGATCACTTTTAAGGCAATTACTTTAGATTCAGTAAAAAATGAACATCATATCACTTGAAACACAGTCCCGGTAAGGAATCTTACATTCTCCTTTCTGCTTCATCCTTAATTGTCTCAGTCTCTTCTTCTTCAGAGGAGGAGGAGGAGGAGCTGTCACTTGCACTGTGAAACAATCAGACCATATTAATTAACCCTGTTCCAGCTGAGTGTTGGTTCTTGGTCATTTCTAGGATACAAATTTAGAAAATGAGGAAAAAGGGAGAGATACTTCCACAGAAGATCTCCAGGTGTTATGGAGAGTTCTTCACACTATCCAGCAAAAAGAAAACTCAAATATTCAAGCAACTCGACCAAAATGTTTACCTGTTTATTATCTGGTAGCTATTTATCAGCTACAAGGTTTCTTCTTATGACAGAGGTGTGAAAAAATATTTTTAAAGTTACATTTCACCAGCATAAGACTCAGAAAGGTTTCAGTTTCTCACCTCTTATTACTTATTTCTCACTCCCAAGAAAGCCAAGATTTACCTTTGTTCCTCTTCAGGGACTGTCACTGACTTTTGTGGCTCAGCATCTCTCAAATCTGTGTACACAGCTGCAGGTTTTGGCAGGCCCTGGAAACTCATCCTGCCCATCCTCAGAGAACTTGGTGGGGATGACAGCAAGGCAATATCCCTGCACACAGAAAACAGCAGCTCAGCACATCCTCTGCCTTATCCACCCAAGGAATCCTGCAGGGAGTGCATCAGGAGCAAAACTGGAGTGAGAAAGGAGCTCTGTGCTTGGCTACCACACAGATTCCAACTCTGCTTCTGCCTGCTATCAAAATCCAAGGCTTCAGCTTCCCCCAGGAACACAGATCACAGGCAGGATGAAGAGGGATATTTAGTTCTCAAAATGTGACAGCACCAAATTGTTCTGGAGAACAAAGGCAGGCACCAGAGACATCACAACTTTTAACATCTCAGTGTAAGAACGAGTTCCCCTTTCCTCTCTGCCTCTTCTGGTAATTCCATTTTATCTTCCCAGGCATACAAAGTGCAAATCATCCTAGTGGCTCTCCCTGCTCTGGCAATGAGGATGTTTCCCACCTTCCCCTCCACTCTTTCACTCATTATTTCCTCTGTGCTGCCACCATTGATGTTGTTCCCTCTGAACAATGCTCTTCCTTCACACAGAAACCTCCAAGAAGCACTGACATCTCCACTGATACCCACAGAAAATCATCCTGTGTGGTTTTGCTCAACTGAGGTACCAGTAAGAGAAATTTGTACTCTAGACAAAAAAAAAAAAAAAAGAAAAAAAAAGAAAAGTGAGCAGGATAATTGGCTTAGCCTCATTTTCCTGCCTTTCCCATTTACTCCAAGTGTCTGGTAAGGTTTAGACAAAGGTTTATGGAGAATGCCAAGGTATTTATCATCAAATGAAAATGAAGTATTTAAACTCCAATATCAGCTTTCTGCAAGGATACAGAGAAAAACCCCAATGGAAGACCAGGAGTTCCCCAGTGCCCATTCTGGCAGCCAGGATTAGCTGGGATATGTGACAGAAAAGGACCTACTTATTGTCCTGCTGTCCCTGGGAGGAGCAGAGCTTGGCTGATGGCTTCCCACAGGGAGGGGACACTGTCCTGGCCTGCCTGGCACACAGCTCTCCCAGCCTTTCCATGAGCTCATCTTCAGACTTCTTCCTGAAGGTCTCTGTGGAAGAGCAACAAAATAATCATCATTTGTGGTCTTCTGCCATGGAATCACCCAATATTCCCCACAGAGAGCCTGGCAGCAGGGGAAGGATAAAGATATTATTGTAACTGGCTTGTCTGGCCCATGGCAGGCTGTGCAGCACTGCCTTCAGGCTAGGAAACCCAGATGAAATCTTGAGGGAAGCTAATTAAACATGCTTTAGAAGCATTTAAAAAACCCACTATGATTTCTGCATTCAAAATTATGCTGCAGGGAATTACTTAAATACAGGAACCTGAGTTTTATTTATTTTTATGCACTTTCAACTAGTGACATTACCATAATCTGCTGGGAAGAAAGCAACTTCTGCACGAGTTGTATCTCCCTGCTGCTCCAGCTCCTCAAGATTCCTGTCTACATCCCATTTCTCAATATTCTGAAAGAAGACAAGAGAAATGTGATGGAAAGTTTACTCCCAAAAGACCACCCCTAATTTCAGTGCCAGCTTGCTTTCAGCAATTCCAGAGGAAGTGCTGTAAGGAAAGGAATGCATTTATTACATCCCTTCAGACACTGCATCCCTCCAGCTGCTTCAGCTACTTCTGCTGAGACTTTTTCTCTGAGAACCATGAACCCTTTTGATAAGACTCCAAAAAATCACTGGAGACAGTGGAACAGATTAAAAAGTGGCCTGATGCAAGGCCAAGCATGTGCATTATGATCCTGAATAATGTGAGAACTCCTCACTGCCACCCACAGGAGAAGGACTTGTGGCTCTTCAGTTCTTTGAGATGAGCCCTTTCCTCCCCCTGCAACTTCTGAGCAGGGTAAATTCCCATTGCTCAGGGTACAGTCAGTATCAGATGATATCTCACAGCTGCTCACCCCATCGTGAAGAGAGGATCATCCATTTCCTTGCTCTGAATCCCTGCTGAGGGCACACTCACCTGGCTCAGCTACAAGAGGCTGCCATGGAAGTCCACATGCATTTCAACCACTCATTGCTTTCCCCTCGGAATATCATTGGAAATTGAAGTTTGAAGGAAAAGGATCCACACCCATGTGAAATGTCATCACCACAAATTAGAAGTGCTTATGAGTTTTATTGAAAGGAAGGGGGCTGTGAGTCGTGACAATGCCACCACTGCCACAAACATGCATTTAATACAACCACTCATGGCCTTTAAAAAAGCACCAGCAGCCTCCAAACCCTGCAGTTTCACCTCCAGCATCTGCCCCTCTTGCTGAAGAGAAAGTCCTCCCTCATTCCTGAGCAATAAATCTTCACACATATCTCAACTTTGGTTAGATCTATTCTTACACTGCAGCACTGGTTTAAGTTCCAGAAGGTCCAGAAGAAATAGAAGTGAAGGTTTGCACAATTCCATTTCTAATACAGAAAGGAACTTAAGGATAAAAAAAACATTTCAAATGAACTGATAGGAATCAAGAAGAAACTGTACATTAGGTTTAGCAACTTGACACAAACTGAGGTGCCTGGCTGAGTTCAGGAGCAACAGCTCCTTTCCAAATGAAAGTGAGAACACACTGAGCCTGGTCTCAGAACTCACCCCAAAGCACCAGACTTGAGCTCATTGAAGTCACTGATATCAAACAGGTTCTGAAAGGCAAATAATGCCTCCTGAATTAACAGACACTGAATTCTGTGAGGTGAGCAGGGAATTACATCCAGACCCACTTGAAAAAGATGTCCTTCAGTGATGCAGCACAATTTAACTCACAGGCCAGCAGCTGCATGAGTTGCCTGGACTGGAACAGCTCTAACATCAAAGAGTTCATTTCTGTGAATACATGAAAGGGGAAGAGAAGCATCTATACCCTGACCTGTGGAAGGCTTTGAACAGAAACATCAGGACCTATTCTGTGCTGATTATGTCCTAATGAACTTAAAAATCAAAAGAGGCAGATCTGTACTCAGAGCTGAAGAGAACCACCCCCCCACTCTGGGCCACATCACATCCCAGTTAACACTGAGCTGCCCATCCCACCTGCCTTAGGTGGGTGAGATTTAGGACTTCAGAACCAACCCTAAACACCTCCTCACTCCAGCACTCCATTGGAAAGCCAGAAATCTCCTTGTTTTAATGCAAAGTCTGCCTGGGACTTGAAAAAACTAGTTTTTTTCCCAGGGACAGATGTTAAGGTTGGCTTCCCTGAGCAGTTCATGGACCTTGCTGCTGATCCATGGCTTTTGCCATGGTTTGGATTGAACTGACAGCTCTGGGGCAGCTTTTGGTCTTTGTGTAACACAGTGTGGTGTGTCAGAACCGGCCACTTCATTTCCTCACTGCAGTGGGACTGTGCAGGCACTGCTCTGTGCCCCCACCCCACTGCAGCACCCCTCAAAGCTTTATTTGAGGGCCACTTGCCTGCAATGACAAATGGGTCACTTCTCCAAGACGCTCAGCTGAGGTTTCTTCCTTTGCAAGACTTCCTAGAATGTTGGTGATGCCATGGGAGGGAGGCTTGACATCCTGCTTTGGGGATGGCTTCACAATGACCTTGGAGAGTATCTTTGTCTCTATCAGCTTTTTTCTCTCCTTTTTATTGTACAGCTCATCCACAGACACTGCTGTGTTAAGCCAGGAGTTCCCTCTTTCCTTGGCCTGTGTCCTGCCCATTTCTTTCTCCTCAAGGTCATCTGTGGAATCTGAGGGAGGCTCTTCAAGAACAGCTCTCTTTTGGTTTGGCATTTCTTCAGTGTGGCTGGCAGGTTCAGGAGCCTCATCTTTAATCATTTGTACATCTTCTTTTGCAGTGATTTGGGCACCATCTGTTTTTTCCTGGAAGTCAAAATTTTCCAGGTCTCTGTTCCAGATCTCCCATGGAAGTCTTTGTGTCTCCTGGATTTGCTAAAGGCAGAGAAAGCACAAACATGCAGAAAGTCAACCTCCCTGAGCTTTGGAAGTGGATAATAAACCAAAACAGAGTGATTGGCACACAGCAGCTCCAGCTCAGACACCATATGGAAACAGCCCACACCATACCCCTCATGGAAAACAGTGAGACTGTTTACTTTCCAAAACTTTAATTTCAGGAACTGCTAAACATCCTTTCAATTACTTTTTCTTACATGTGCTCATTATTCCAACCCAAACCATTCTATGATTTCATGTTTATCTTCATCAGAAGGAACAATGTGATTACTTTAACTCAGAAAAGCTGTTCAAAGAGTAAATTTCATACTTTTCCTCCTTTCTGCACTGTCCTAATTCATTTTCTAGACTCATAAAATAATTGCACAGTGTTAATTAGTGCACAGGAAAGAAAAACAGTAAAAGGACAATAAAAACTGCCAGGAGATGGGACAAAAAAGGTCCAAATTCTCAAGAACAGAGAAAACAGGGCCACTGCAAAAAGCTTTTCCTGTTCAGACAGGTCAGACATCAGCAGCTGCCCACATTGGGAACATCCAGAAGAGAGGGGTGACAGAACAGCCCACACACAATTGTCCCAACCTGCTCCTGGGAGTCTTCTAGAGCAAACATCATCAGCTCTTCCGACAGGTCCGGAATTAGGTTTGGCAGGTCCCGCTGGAAGATGAAAAGCTCCTCATCACTCTCACAATCAGACTGCAAACAGAGAAAAAAAATAGAAATTGAACAGGAGGCTGCAATACTCACTGATATTGGAATATCTGGTTTGCAGTGACAGCTCCCGTGTTGGCACCTCTTGAAGTGCAGAGACAAGAAGTTTCCTTGCAGTCACACCTTTACTAGACAGTCTGGTAGCCCAAGAGTCACCAACCCCACATTTCAGCAAGCTACAAATGTAAAAACCCATGTAAAACATTAAATTTCCATGGAGGTTGATGACAAACATCCTGCTGAGAAAAGCAATGGAAAGTGTGGGATGTTCTCTAACTCCCAAGTGATTCTCTGCAGTACCTCATTCACCATCAGAGAGGCAAGAGCAGAGCTGCTCAATATTTACAAGGGATGGAGGACAGGACACAGGGAATGGCTTCCCACTGCCACAGGACAGGGCTGGATGGGATATTGGGAAGGAATTGTTCCCTGGGAGGGTGGGCAGGCCCTGGCACAGGGTGCCCAGAGAAGCTGTGGCTGCCCCTGGATCCCTGGCAGTGTCCAAGGCCAGGTTGGACAGGGCTTGGAGCGGCCTGGGACAGGGGGAGGTGTCCCTGGACATGGCACAGGCTGGCACTGGATGGGCTTTAAGATCCCTCCAACCCAAATCATTCTGGGATTCTCAGGGACTGGAAAGGCAAGGCCTCACCAGGCAAAGCCCAGTCCCACAGCAGGACAGACCAGGGGGAGCAACCAGGCTGAGGCACAACTCCAGATCCTTGGGCAATACTGGAGTGATGAGGCTGGTCAGAGATTAAGACTGAAAGTCAATTCAGGTGAAAGTGTGGCTCAGGCAGGACCATAACTAGAAACCAAAACTCTCCTAACATAGCTCAGAGAGGGAGTGAAGGGCCAGAGCTGACCTTAAACAGAGCTGCTGGGAGCCCCAGGTGAGGCCATGCAGGGCCATGAAGGATTTTCACTGCCCTCAGGACCCTGATTATTGTTCAGAACACAAAGAGTATCTGTGTTTGGTTGGGCAGCATTTAGATAGCCCTGAAAATCCCTTTTTTAAACATCAGATATGCATTGGAGATGAATCCTTATGCATGGACACCAAAGGGAGATTCAGCACCTCCTCAGCAGTCAGGACACAGCTTTCCTGCTTGTCCCTTTGTTTTTTGCAAGTGTGCAATTTTGGGAATTCACACTGCAGAGAATCCTCTCTGGTGTCATTAACTTAACATGAAGCCAACTACAACACAACATCTTTCCTCTTAATAAATTGCATATCAGGGTAAAGAAAGGGCTTCAGGGCATGAAACACATTTGTGAGTGCCATTTTTGGAGGTGTGAGCAGAGCCCGTTCAGGTGACAGCTCTTGGATACACAAATGGATCTTTCTGCACCTGGAAACTCCTCGGACAAAGGTGCAGCCCTGGAACTGCAGCCTCAGCAGGGCAGGATTACACTGCCAGAACTTTTGAATGCAAATGAAGTGCCAGACAGATTGCCTCAGTTCCTTCTGCAGGAAATCTTTTCCACGTGGGATAGAAACAGAGAATTTGGAGATTGTAAAGAGTGAAAAAAATGTTCAGCATGATTTTGGGTTATACAAGGGTGTGTGGCACTAAAATCTGGAGCTGCTCCTCTGGCTTAGGCTGGTTATAATTTACTCAACAAGAAAGCCTACAAATAATTTCAGTGTTGGGTCTTCATCTGCACTACAGAGACACATGTTAACACACAAGGGCTGTTCAGAATAATTAAAACAGTGTTGGTAGAGGGAACTGAGAACAGTGAGGGAATGTGGCTTGTCCAGCACGACAGTGAGAGATCCAGGTGCAGAACCCAGGTCATGGAATCCCCATCAACACTTTATCCACCAGCTCACAGTGCTTTGGATCATTGATTAATAATAAATAATAAATAATAAATAATAAATAATAAATAATAAATAATAAATAATAAATAATAAATAATAAATAATAAATACCCACTGGAGGCATTTCTGGCTCTTTCACATCTCATAGTCTCTCCCTGAACCATTAATGGCTACACTAAGTTGGGATAAAATATATCCTTTATGTGCTCAAAACGTTGTTCAAATTTATACATGTTTGAAAATTAACACAATGTTCTGATTTGGACAAAATGCCACTAATAATCCAATCTTGAGATATATTATCCCCTCAGAAAAGTCGATGCCAGAGCATCTTGGACTAGAGAGGAGCACCAGAGCAATGCTGTCCTGTGAGCAGAGATGTTCAGCAGCCAAGAACAGCCTGGCCCAGACCCAGCAAGTGAAAAACCTGTACCAGTCAAGAATGCTGCACAACACCTCCCAGTCTCACACTTCATATGAAAAAATTTCTGCAATTATGCTTCTTTGGCAGGTAAAAAGCATGAAAAAGCACCATGCCTTGTGGAGAGGACATGTGACACCAGCCTCAAACACATCATAATCCAGAATATCATGGAATACCAGGATGGTTTGGGTTGGGAAGGGACCTCAAAGCCCATCCTGTCCCACCCCCTGCCATGGGCAGGGACACCTTCCACTGTCCCAGGTTGCTCCAAGCCCTGTCCAGCCTGGCCTTGGGCACTGCCAGGGATCCAGGGGCAGCCACAGCTTCTCTGGGCACCCTGTGCCAGGGCCTGCCCACCCTCCCAGGGAAGGATTCTCTCCAATATCCCATCTAATCTTTTCCTTTGCCAATGGGAAGCCATTCCCTGTGTCCTGTCCCTCCATCTCTTGTCCCAAGTCCCTCTCCAGCTCTCCTGGAGCTCCTTCAGGCACTGGAAGGCCACAGAAAAGCTTCTCTTTTCCAGTCTGATCAATCCCAATTGTCTCAGCCTGGCTCTCAGCAGAGCTGCTCCATCCCTCTGACCATCCTGGTGCCTCCTCTGGACTCACTGCAGCAGCTCCAGGTGGGGTCTCACCTGAGCTGAGCAGAGGGGCAGAATCCAAAGAATACAAGGAGAGGAGGTGGCAATTACCCTCTGATAATTAAGGATAATCCAGAAGGATGTGAATTAACACACAGTGTTCCATAGTCAGGACAGGCAGCCCACCCAGGATGCCACAGCAGCCACCTCAAAATGCCTGATAAGGTCACCTGATCTTGCTTTTGAGAGTTTTTTTCCCCGATCCAGAGAGAAGAAAGGAGATTTTCAGTGCTTACTGTGGAGGAGTCAGAATCCAGGGATGGGAGCTGGTCTTTCACTGCAGCAAGGATGGCTCCCCACTGGAATGTTCTGTCCCTCTGCACAGGAGCTGCAGGAGGCTCAGCTGCATGTTCTGCATCCTCACTTTGTGCTTCTGAGGCCATTGGGACAGCTCCCCTTCAAGCAAAGGAAAGATGAGCTTAAGGACATCTCTCCAAACATGAGATAACATCAATCCAAAACAAGGACTAAGTGTGGTCAGGGCAGAGGAATTCCCAGCACTCCCAGCAGGAAATGTTAAAATCTGCATTTTTGGAGCTATTCCTTCCCACCTGGGTTGAGAAAGGGCTGAGAGCTTTCTGCCCTACTCACCACACTCACCCCAGGGGCAGTTTAGCCCCTCATTTATAAGTATTTTTTGGGATTCTTAGGCAGGGTGCTGTAACTGCGTGCTCTCCAAGCATGTTCCCATATTCTGCCTGCAAGGATAGGACAGGAGCACAGCAAAGGCAGGCTGACACCTCTGCTCCCAGCTGGATTGACTCCTCTTCCCAATTTCCCTCACACTCCCCTCCTCACTACTCAAAAGAGATAAAATGATCACAAAGTCATGGAATCTCATAATGGTTTGGGTTGCAATGGAGCTTAAAGACTATCTCCTTCTACCCACCTGCCATAGGCAGGGAACTTTCCATGTGATTCATGTTTACTTTTGTTTTCACTGGATTTTTATACAAAAAATAGTTAAGAATAGGCACATTCATGGACTTTGACCTCTCAAAGTGTTTCTAAAGTGGATTCTTTCCTTCTGTTCCTTGATGTCCATGAGAAATTGAGACAACACAGAAGGAACTGCAGCTGAATTAAGAGGTCAGATAATTCACCCTCACAAAAAAAAACCTTTACATTTTATGCTATGATCACATGGTTTTCTGGGCGATCAAACATGAGAGTAAATGATTTCTGGTTCAGAGGTTTCACAGAATACCCAGGGCTGGAAGAGACCCACAAGGACCATCAGAGGTTGGTGACTGTGTTGTTCAGGACTGAAATGACTGCTCAGGGGATCACACTGGCACAGTAAAAGTCCTCAAAATGTGAAGTCAAACTCAACTTACTCCCTGGGAAGTTTATAACTTGCAAATTTCCTCTGTAGATACTTCATAGGCCACAGCTCTGGTAGTTTCGTTGGTGTGAGACAACCCTGAATTTCACTTAGATAAAGAAGAGGGAAATCCTCATGGCTGGAGCTCTGTGCTCTGACACTGAGCACAGCTTGCCCAGGGTCACAGGAGCCCCCTGGGGATAAAACAAACTGCCTAGTATGGCTCCCTGTGCCAAATTCTGAGCTAAATATCCCACGGTTATGGATGGACACTGCATCTGACTTGTCAGTCAGCTAATGCAGCATCCTGTGTGGGAGCACACAGTGCTCTGTGTCCACAACAAACCCTTGTCAGCAGCAGCACTGCTGGCACTCTCTGTGCAGCTTGGGCATGGAGGTGGTAGCTCGAAGGTTGGACTTGATGATCTTGGAGGTCTTTTCCAGCCTTAATGACTCCATGACTCTGAGACTTGAAACCCTGAGCCTCTCTGTGTCACCAGAAGTGACGTTTGCTGGGAAGGAGAGGTAGTGAGGATACCAGCAGTGGTGGAATGTTGGATCCCAGAAATCTGGTGGTTTTGGGCTTTCTGTGCTTTCTGGCACTGACCCCCAGGAGAACACTGCTTTTGACCTGAGGCCTTAGAGACAGCTTCTAAATATGAGTGGTGAAGTAGGAATCACAAGTGTTTAGTGAAGTAAGTGTGTGCTTTCACAAGGTGATGGGTTTTAAATCTGAGGTTTTTATAGTATAGTAATAGGTATAGGACAAGATAGAAGTTTTTGAGCGTTGTCTCTTTGTTCATCTTTCTTCTTCTTCCTTCTTCTTCTTCATGGGTTTCAGGCAGTAGTTTCTGGTTGGTCAGTTAGTGTCACTCTAAGGGTCATGGAAATCTAGTTATTTAGTCAAAAGTATAAATAAGTGTTAATTCTCTATTAAACTGTTTAGCCTTAAAAGACCTTGTAACAGTTGCCTCTGTAACCATTTTTCCTTACTTCTAGCAAGGAGCTGGAAGTGCTGTCATACTGTCTGCACTTTCTGTTAAGATGTAATAAACATCCAAGCCCGAACACGAGAAAAACTGTTTCAATCGTGTTTCTGTTAATCCTGGCTCTAAAGGAAAACAGTCGAGACTGATGACAAACCACTAATGAGGTGGGCAAAGCCCCCGCACCGCTGCCTACAGTGGCAGACAGAGCTTGGCCTGGGGGCTGAGCCCGGGCAGCCCCGGTGCAGCACAGGGCCAGGGCCGGGCCCGCCTGAGGGATCCCCTCACAGCCCCGCCATGGCGGCCGCGCGGCGCACGCGCACCGTCCCCATGGCAACGCTACTCCCGAGCCCCCAGCCCCGCCCCGCTCTCCTGCCCTCACTCACAGCGCCCACCGCCCTGCTCAGCGCCGGGCCGGACCGCGGGCACAGCGAACCGGAGGCACCGGGACGAGCACAGAGCCGGGACAGCGCGGCGGGGCCGCGTCCTCGGGGGCTGCTCGCTACAACCGCCCGCCGCCAGCCTCAACCCCATTGGCTGCCCTGCGCCCCGCCCCTCACTCGGCCTCCTCCCATTGGCCCGGCGCCGCGGAGGCTCCTGGGTGTTGTAGTTCGCCTCCCGGGAAGGTGGGGGTGCTCCCGGCATGCCTTGCGCGGGCGGGACTACTTCCGGCGGCGACGCGCACCGGGGAGCAGGTGAGGGACGGGACGGGACGGGACGGGACGGGACGGGACGGGACGGGACGGGACGGGACGGGACGGTGGCACTCCTCGCTGAGGCCGGCCCCGGGCAGTTCCCGTCCTCGGTAGGCCCGTGGCCGTAGCGGTTCCTACCCGCTCGCTGAAGCGTGCGGTGCTGAGGCCGCGTTGCCGGCAGGGCCGCGAGGGGAGCGGGTGCGGGGGTAGCGCCCCCGGGGCCGTTTCGCTGTGAGGCGTTCGGTAACAGCCGCGTGGCGGCCGCTGGGTCCGCCTCAGGTGCGTTGTGGGGTGACCGGAGCGTGGCCGGGCCGAGCCCTGCGGGTGCCGTGTCCGGCTACCTTGGCGGGCACAGCCCCTGACAGGGGAAATGTGCTCCCTAATGTGGCTGCTCGAGTGCTTTTGTGCCTCTTACCTCGTTTTTCTGAGGTTGTTTGATGTGCTTGAATGTGCCTGAGGGTGACAGGCTCGTGGTGGAATCACTCAGCTTGGAAAGGACCTTTAAGATCATAGAGTCCAAACATTAAAAGATAAAGAACTTGGTGTATTTTGTGTGTTTTTAACAGACGTGGGTAGAATTGAACTTGAGTGTTATGGGTTCAGGAATGTTTTCTCTCGCCCAGCTCAAGAACCTGCTGTGGTTCCTGCAGCTGTGTTTTGTGCCAGCTGAGTCAGTCAGTCATACACTGCAAAAATGAGACGTTCTGGTTCCTGTTGTTGTGGCTGAGCTGGCAACAATTGCGCCTAAAAAGGGATGTAAAAAGGCTTTTTTTACTCCCTCCAATAAGTTGTTGCTGGATTTAGTGGAAACAGAACTAAGTCAGGAGCAGAAGAAGAGTGTGTTCCTACTCTGCCTTGGTGGCAGAGTCCTGGGGGCAACCACGATATCAGAAGTCTCTAAAGCTGTTGGAGAATGTCCAAAGGAGGGACACGGGCATGGGGAAGGCTCTGAGGAGCAGCTGAGGGCACTTGGATTATTCAGCTGGAGAAGGAGACTGAGGGCAGAGCTCAGCGGGGGCTGCAGCTCCAATCTCTGCTCTTTGGGACTGGGACAGGACCAGGGAAGGGCTGGAACTGGGCCAGGGGAGGTTTAGATTGGATCTCAGAGGGTGCTGGGCACTGCCCAGGCTCCCCAGGGAATGGGCACGGCCCCGAGGCTGCCAGAGCTCCAGGAGTGTTTGGACAGCGCTGCCAGGGATGCCCAGGGTGGGATTGTTGGGGTGTCTGTGCAGGGCCAGGAGTGAGACTGCATGATCCCTGGGGGTCCCTCCCCACTCAGAATATTTATTCCATGACTCTCTCTTGTCAATTTGTTGGTTCCGTTGGAACTTCCATGCTTGTGCTGCCTTGGGAGTCCCTATTCTGGGATAGAAGGACACATGTGGATGCCACTTTGCTTGTGGGAGGAGACGTGAGAGAGTGAATTGAGCAGGGCCTGCTGAGGTTGATTAATGGGCAGGGTTGGATTTGTTCTGTGTTGGGGGCTGGTTGCTTCTCAGATCACCTCCCATTTATTGTAGTGTGGCCCTAAGGTGCTTTATTGCTTCAGTTTTCGTACTAAGTTGATTTTTTTCTCTTCCTTTTGGTTTGCTCAAACAGCAAACTCCAAATCCAGGGCAATGTGGGGTTTGCTGCCTGCTCTGTGCCCCAGCACTGTAGAGCTCTGACCCTGATAAATAGCTGAGTGCCAGTAGACTAAATTAAATAATAAAAATAATAACAGCAACCTCATGGGTGTCATGGCTTGGTCCCAGCTGGTTACTGAAAAAAAAAAAAAAAAGGTACTAAGCTGTTGCTTTTCCTTGGTTCATCCCAGTAGGATGGGGAGGAGAATCAGAAAAGAAAGTAAAAAACCTCATGACTTGAGGTAAGAACAACTTGATTATTGAAGCAAAGTAAAGTATAATGATAATAATAATTATAATAAGAAAATAAACGCAAAAGAAACTGAAAAGCAACATGGTTGCTCAGCACTTGCTGATTCCCATCCCATATCCAGGCTGTGATTGGCCCCTCCCAGCCACACTCCCCAGTTCCTGTACTGGGAGTGATGTTCTGAGGAATGGAATATCCTTCTGGCCAGTTTGGGTCAGCTCTCCCCTGGCTTCTTGGGCACCTCCATGCTAGCACAGCATGGGAAACTGGGAAGTCCTTGCTTTAGGGTAAGCACTTCATTGTGTTATCAGCATTCTTCTCATCCTGAATCCAAAACAGCCTGTGCCAGCTGCTGGGAAGACAAAGAGCTCTGTCCCAGCTGACAGCAGAGCTGAGGGAGGTCTGTAACAAATGTGAAATGGTAATGTCTGTAACAAATGGTCACTGTGCCCCAAAGCAGGGGAACAGCCTGTGAATGGTCTGGAGGTCTTTGTCAAACTTAT